AATTAAAAAAAAAAAAAAAAAAAGAATGAATAAATAAAAAAAAAAATTATTTAAAAAAAAAAAAAGAACTCACGTGGTACTGAGATCAGCAGTTAGCATAATGGCTATGTCGCTGGACTCGCATGTAGTTGACCACAGTTCAAGTCCCAGACTGGGTGGCTTAAACTCACGCCAGGTGCATGTGCATGCCCAAGATCCCGAGAGGAGAATGGAAGAGAAGGGATTGCAGCGTGGCCATCCCCCTGGGGGGTGATTTCTTGCTTTCTGTCTCTGTCTCTGTCTGTCTTTCCAGTGAGCACATGCACCCTATAGCAAAAACCTCTCAAAAAAAAAAAAAGAAAGAAAGAAAGAAAGAATTAACGCAGTACTTTAGACACCATGGGTGTACAGCACGTTCCCCAAAGACCCCAGTGCACACTGGTCAGCACGGCTGTCGCCTGGCAGAGTGCTCCTGGCTCAGGCCTTAGCTAATTAGCGCCTGCTCTGTAGCCATAACTGTGCGGTTCGGGGGAGTGAGCCCGAGCATGGCCTGGGAAGGCACACGCCAGTCTGTTTAGTTCTGCAGCTCTCTGAACACCAGTGTTGCTAATTCCTTTATCTGGGGTGGTTTTTCGATTTGCAGCTCCTGGATGAAATGGCCACACTGGTGTTCTTTGTCCTGACGGGGTATAAATTCCGTCCAGCTTCAGATAACCCCTACCTGCAGCTTTCTCAGGAAGAAGATGACTTGGAAATGGAATCTGTGTAAGAACTTGCTTTCTGTCTCCTCTTCCTTTGCCCTGACCCCTTTGCCCACTGAGAGCAGCACCGCATGACATGGCCCAAGCTGCTCGCAGCGTTTCGTGGCTCCAGAGGTGGCTCCTCCATTTTTAGCAGGAAGTGGACACCGAAGCCCCAGGCTCCCTGATGTAGTTTGGAGCCCAATACTTGCCAAGCAGTGAGCCTGGTGGGTCCTGTGTCCCTGCCCTCCTTGTACGCACCACTGCAGCCTGTTTTCAGTGACTGGAGGCCAGGCCTTGGGAGACGCTTGGCTGATGTAAAACTGCCGGAAGTGGGCAGCCCCTCTTCCTGGGTGGCCTCCCCATTAGGAGCTTACCTCAGTCATCTGTAAGTCAGCTAATGAGCCTCAAACGTCCTTTATCGGGTAACTAAGTGCCTTTTCCTAATGACTTTGACCTACATCTGAGCACCAATGTGAGCTTTTCTGAGTCACACGGTAAGTGACTCTATTTCCTGAGAAAGGGCAGTTATTTTCTAGGAAAGTGGACAGCGATTAAACATATTTGCCTGTTAACTGTGCCCGCTGATAAGCCAGGTCAATTGTTGGGTTGGTTGACTGGCCTGAGGCAGGGTTCATCCCCTCCTTCTTGCACTGGGGCCCAGTGAGCTGCCCCGGCATGGGCAGCCTTTTGATGTTTCACGACTCAGAGGCCCATGCTGGGCACTGCTTGGCTGTCAAACAGTGTGGGACAACTCTGTGCTCCGCTCCTCTGCTGGGACAGTAGAGGAAGTCAGGGACACCGCCCTGTGCAGGGAAGTAACACCTTTTGTATGCAGAGGAGGAGGGCCCTTGGCCATGCCTCTGCTATAGCCAAATCTGGGGCTGGCAAGTAGCATGGAGGTTGAGGCGCTGGACGCCCACATGACTGACCACGGTTCAAGTCCTGTACCTGGTGGTTTGCTTTCTCACTTCCTCTCTCTTCTGCCTCTCCCCCCCCCATCAAAGTAAAAATGATTATAATAAATACAATTAAATAATTCTTTTTAAAAAAAGAAGTAGCCAAATCTGAGCTGGTGGCTGGTGGTTGCAGAGGCACAAATGAGAGACTGGCAAGCAGAGCCTCCATAGCAGCCCAAGACAGGGCGCCCGTCTGCTTCCCCTCCGAGAGGATTGGCTCGGTGAGCTGGGCTGGGGAGCTGGCAGCTGCATGGCTGGGCTGTGTTCGAAGGTGACCCTCGGCTGGTTCCCACAGCCTTGCCTTCAGCCGTCACGTCGCGAAGCGTGGGTGTGTAAACTTGTGTCATGGCGAAACTTGTTTAAAATTTTGCCCCGGTGCTTGATTCTCTCTGTAATATTTGATACTCGTGGAAATCATTCCAGAGGAGGTTCTGTGTGTGTTACACTCGGGAGGGGAGGGGAAAGAAGGGTGGAGTACACCTGCCAGGTTAGTAGAGCCCGAAGAGTGTTTGTTACTCTGGAAGGACTTGGGAAATTTGGAATGTCAGTCGGGGCTGATCCTCAGCTGCCTCAGTTTACTTCCATGGCAAGGGGCAGGGTGCTTGAGTTCGGCTGGGCATTCTTGAGGGTTAGTCTAAGCCGGATGGTTCCGGTGATGTGAGTTCCTCGGAGGCAGCCATCCGTAGTGCCCCAGCTCCAGGGGTCAGACCAGAGGGTGTGTGTGGGCAGGGTATTGCCAGTGGGCAGCAGCTGGGTCAGCCTGGGGAGCAGAGGTGACCAGGAGCCGATTAGGGCCAGGCGCCCTCCAGTGGACAAGGAACCGTTCTGGGGAAGTTCCGGGTTTCTCGTGAGTGAAGACGCTGCTGTTGAGGTTCTGAGAATTGATGTGACAGAAGAGCAGGCCTGACACGGGGCCATGCTGTGACCCTGCGGTCCGTGCTGCTTGTAGGTGAGTGTAAAGCCCATCTCGGCTTCTCGGGGCACGGCGGTGCCCAGAGCTGTGACCCCTTCGGCCGCCTGGAAGTGCTGCTCCTGTTCTGGACGGCACCTCTGAAGTCCTCCATAAGTAACCCGAGCCAGAGGCAAGCAGGCCTGTGCTCACTCAGCTTTCTAGAAGGTCATTAGCGCTCTGCAAAGTGTCATACACACTGGGTGTGTTTCCAGGAACATGGCCTTGGGTCTCACCTGCATCATAGGACAGAGCACTGTCCCATGCTGTCCCCCTGCACACAGCCCAGAACAGATCCATGTTCTAACAAGTCTCACGAGTCTTGTCCAGTGGGGCACGTGCTCTCTGCGTGGGACACACACACTCCAGCCTACATTCTGCTCATTTCTGTTCCCATCTCGTTTGTCCGAAGCTGAGCTCCAGAGTGCTGTGCATTTGGGATCGGGTCCCAGGATCGAGCCTCGCTCCCTGGGGCAGGGTGCTTCCAGCTGAGCTCCCACCCTTCCTCGACCCGGGCTGGCACACGGTTGGTGTGTGCGACGTAGGGTCTCTCTCGGAGCCTGGGAGAGGGTGCAGGCGGAAATGACGCTGACATGGACCCCACTGCTTTCCCTTCTGTGTCCTTCAGCTCCTGCCCGTTGTACCAACAGAGTCTCTTATGGAATACTCAGCAGGTTCAACGACAGTGGGGTAAAGCTTCATTGTCAGACGTGGTGGCCATTCCAGTGCTCTCCCTGTGACGACGTGGACGGTTTCCGTCACCTGACAAAGCGAGCGTGGGAGGTCACGTTTGGCCTGGGATCCAGGACGGGGGGTTGTCTTGCTTGGCTTTCTGCCCTGGAGTGCTGTCCCCGAGGGGCTGATCCCTCTCACTGCCCCTGCGTTCACTCAGGTGAGCGAAAGACCGAGTGGGACTGAGGTAATGGGAGACTGACCGATAGGGTTGTCCCATAACAAGCCGTACCATGTGTCAAGTCTGGAAAACATCTTAGTAATAAAAACAGGCGTCCAGAGACCACTTCAGCCCAAGCCACATTTGATTGCAGCCCAAAACAGACCCACGTTCTGACAAGCCTTGCGAGCCCTGTGGGAGGAGCTGTGTTCATTCCGCACCTTTGAAGCACAGAGACCTGGGGCTCTGTGAGGAAATGGGATCACTGTGTAGGCGGAGAAGGAAAGGGGACGGCCCTGCACCTGCCTGCTCTCCATCTCTGGCTGAGGCCCGCCTCTCTCAGGCACCCTGCTCCACTGCCCTCCGCAGGCTTACCTCCCTGGGCCCGTGATAGCCCCTCTGCTTGGCTTAGCCCTGGGGCCCTTCTGCTCAGACCCGCACAGGTGCTGCTGGTCCGTGGGGCAGGTGTCCTCCTGAAGTCACAAGTAGCTCAAAGAAGCCTTTCTGTGAGCAGCTCTGGTTGCAGACAGCTCCAGTGGGCATGGTGGCAGAGGCCAGCCTGCCCGTGCACTAAGGCTGCCCCAGCAGCCCATGCAGGACCCCTGTCCATGAGCTGATGGCTAGTGTGGGAGGAGGTGCCTGATGGTGGTGGGTTGGCATGGAGGCATGGGAGGGCCAGGGCCTGGGACCCTCTCCAGTCAGGCAGAGAGGAGGGAAGGCCCCACTTGCTTCCTGTGGGGTGACCGGGCAGCTCCAGGGCCTATCTCTAGAGCAGCTGCAAATCGCACTGCTGTCATGCAGCCTGTGCTGCATGGGGCACAGTGTGCACCAGAACTGGGACAGCCAGGGTGAGGCTGCTGATGCCCCTGCCCTGTGTCCCTGCAGGGAGGCTCTAGGCTGTGGTCCAGCCCCGGTCTCCCAGGCTGCCGCGGCGTCTGAGCTGCAAGGAGAACCACTGTACCACTACAGGGCTGCCTGGACTAACCTGCTGCCCCTGGGAAGTGGCCCTTGAGCCTCTTTGCAGGTTGCCGGGGAAACAGTGCAGTGGCCCTAGCATTGCAGCGGGTTTCATGTCCTGCAGTTCCCTGTGGCACCTGCTGGCCACACACTGCTCCTCACTGTCACCCACCCACCTGATGCTCCCATCTCCAGTCCACTCGCCACTCCTGTGCCCCAGGTCCCTTCGTCCCTGCCCCAGGCTCGACCCTGTACTCTTACTGCTTTGTCACTCTCGCCTTTCCCCTGCGTTCCCACAGGTCTAATGTACTGCCAGCTGCCCTGTCACCAACAGCAGAGCTTGTGTGGGTGGGAACACCTCCCTCTGCTGCAGACCCTAGAAGTGAGAGACCCCATCTTGCTGGCCTAACCATCTGTGGGTCTCCCACCCTTCCGTCCTGAGGCCCTGCCGCGGCTGTGGCTGACTTCCTTACCTCTGATCACCGTGCCCACCTCGCCCCTTGGTGACTGGGGTCACTTTAGAGTGCTCCTACAGCGTGGGGCCTGGCCCGGCCGCCCCCTGGGACCTTCGACTTCATGTCTGCCCTCAGGGACCTGCGCTCTCTGAGCCCAGGCCTGGCTGAGCCCATGTAGGGCACGGCGCGAACCTGCTGTGTGGTTCCCTACTTGGCAGAACCGGCCTGCCCTGCCAATGCCCTCTGTCGTGGGGTTGGCTCTGCCTTGTCTTCCAGTGTAGGTTCAGCTCCTGCAGGGCAGGTCCTCCTCACCCCAAGCCGTGGTCACCCTGACTGCATGCGTGCCTGGGTCCTGGGTGGTGATGTTGAAGGCTGTCCCTTCTGCTGGCGGGGGCTCCCCAAGAGCAGCAGTTCTGTGCTCTTCCCTGCTGTGAGCAGACCAGGCCTGTCTGGAAGGGAGAAAAACCATTTTCTCAATTGCCCTTCGTCTGGAACAGAATGCTTTCTTAGGAAAGAGCTCAAAGCCTCCTCTCAGAACCACCTGGGCCACAGAGAATGTGGCTGTCCCTGTGTCCATGGCGAACTCCTGGGCTCTCTTCGGGAAGGTGCTGTAGCCACAGGACAGTCGTCTGACTGGGGCCTGCCATTGCCCGGCTCCTCTGGTGGAAGCAGGCGGGAGGAGCGCAGGGGCTCTGAGCTGAGGCGGGAGCGGTGTGCAGAGGCGCCACCCGAGTCCGTCCGAGCGGGTCTCCAGGAGCAGCGTGTGCGTCGGCTCCTCCTGGCTAAGGGTGAGCCCACCTGAACGAGGCAGGCCCGAGACCCCGCAGGGATGAGCTGGCATTTCCTTTGTCTTGGGGGACGTTCTCATACCCACAACACTTGTGGGAATTCCCTCCATTCCCTTGAGAATCACATGCCTATATGATACGCTCCGTCTGCCTCCGCCGCAAGTCCCAGTAACCTCCAGTCTCAAGGACTCTTTGAGAAGTCTCAACTCTGGGAGGACTGGGTGGCTTTGAGGCCTGGTTACAGCAGCAACATGGTGGCAGGAATACAGCCTGGGTTGGGGAGGGCCTTCCCTTACCCCATAAAAATGTTTCTTCCCCATGAGGTCGAGCCAGGTGCACTCTAGATGTCACGTGTAGAGCCACTGTGTCACCACTCGTGAAGGGACTTGGCAGTTGGTGGATAGATAAGTGGGGTCTTCAGGCAGAGGCCAGCCTAGTGGCAGTACTTTCTATCGAGCTTCTCGAATGAATTGATTTCACTGATGAGGAAATTCCTGGGGCCCATGAGGGAGAGCATAAGTGCTTGGCCGGTTCCTGGGATACTTCGGGAGACTCTGGCACGTGGTCTTCCACACTCAGCGTCTTAGTTTGTGCTCCTTAGAGAGCCACCAGTTCCTTTGTCACACAGAACCTTGGGCTCCGTCCAGCCCACCTTCCGAGGGTAGGTTTGACTTCTCACAGACCTCACTGCTGAGAGGTGGCGTGAGACACCTGATGGAAGTGGCTGCCGTGTGGCATCAGGCTGCAGGAGGCCAGCCCTCTTCCGGTTTTAATTCTTGCATTCAGTGGCTGGCTCCACAGCGTGGCCTCTGTTCCAGTCAGGTGCCAGCAGACAGAGCAAGGCCTCCGCCCTGGGAGTCTGGACTGCAGAGGTGGCATGGCAACCGACAGCCTTGCTGCCCGGGCCCTGGCTGCGGAGTCCGGGCCTGATTCGCAGACGACAGCTTGTTCTCTGTCTACGTGGTCCAAGACTCAGGGCCCAGGAGGTCTCTTCAAAACAGTGGTTCTGTCCCATGACTCAGAAATGATCCACTGTGGGCTGCTCCCATGACTCCATGGTTAAAGGAGCTAGGTGCTACATGGTTTGAATCCCAGCCCTTGCCTTTTGAAAAACATGTCAGGCGCGTGCGTGTGGAGAAGGGTTGCACTGCGACTCTATTCCACTAGGGGGTGTTTTCTTCCTCTCCCTCTTCTCTCTGGTGAGCGCATGAGCTCTCAAGTAAATTTTTTTAAAAAGGAAAGGACTAGGGGCCAGCAGTACCATGCAGGTTAGGGTGCTGGATCCCGCATGCCTGGCTACATGGTTTGAGTTTCAGTGAGATAAAAACCACATTGGGGGAACCAGCAGTTAGCGTAATGGCTGTCACTGGACTCCCATGTAGTCGACCACGGTTCACGTCCCGGACCTGGTGGCTTAAACTCACGCCGGGCGCGTGTGCATGCGTGCCCAAGATCCCGAGAGGAGAATGGAGGAGAAGGGATTGTGGTGTGGCCGTCCCCCCTGGGGGGTGATTTCTCGCTTTCTGTCTTTCTGTCTCTCTGGTGAGTGCATACACCCTATAGCAAAAAGCTCTCAAAACAAAACAAAACAACCATATTGGGTGTTGGAGGTGGGGTGGGGGGATGTCCAGAGATGGGAGTGGAGGAGAAGAGATTGCAGCATGGCCATCCCCATGGGCGGTGACTTCTCGCCCGCTCTCTCTGTCTTTCTGGTGAGTGCACGGGCTCTACAGCAAAAACTAAACCCAGAAAGGCCGGCTCCATTGCGGCTGGCCGGTGTGAACGACTGTACAGCT